AGAGAGAGAGAGAGAAATATTTATCTTAAGCATGGTTTAAAAATTTGCATTTAGTTTAATATTATTCATATTCTACTAGTCTACTTTTAGTTTTATATTTATCGTCGTCTATATTTCAAAAATTTATTTGCATTTAGTTGCGTTTAATATTACTGATGTTTATCCAGTTAATTTTGCAATTACATTTAGTTTAATACAATATTATTGATGTTTATGTGGTTGATTTTGTATTTATCATCATTCATAAAGAATGTTGTTTGGCTAGAATCATTCTCACGATCTTCAAGACTAACGTCTCCATTAGATTTGTTGAACCAATATATCGGTTGTAAAAATAAGCTGTATTGATTGTAGAAATAAGCTTTTAAATAATGTCTAATAATCAATATATAATGAAGTAATTTATTTCAAAAAAACGTTTCATAAAATTACAGACATCAAAAATTATTTTCCGGCCAACCTAATATTCATCACGGAATTTTCTTGTTAGAAAATTTTTTTCCCACAACACTATGGCAGTACAGCAATATGGTTGCTGCTACTTAAATGTTCTGGGATATTTGTGATATGTCAAAACGAACGTTCTGGTTGGATAGTAAAGTAAGCAGGTACCTGCTGAGTTTTAATAGGTATTTTGTCTGCGCAGCTATATTTAGAATGATCATGGTTTTTTTTATAGAAGTGATTCAGAACAACTTGAAATGTTATATTCTTTAAATGTCAAATTCTTGAACGATTTCTAAAACAATTTTTCCTTTTGCAAAATGTTATCTGAAGCTTAGTTTTTGAGTTATAATTGAGAATAGTACAAAGGGCAAGTAGGGACGTGCAGCGCATCATGAGACTGTCAAGTGTTACGTTAGTCTTATGATACATTGCACTTGTTTCTGTTTAATATATAAATCTTTATATGTATATTATATTTATTATTAGATATTCTGTATATTATATGGAAATAAAAAAGGATATATATAATATTAGATATCAGTGTTGTATATAAATAATCGAAATTGAATTACTAATATTAAAGGAGAAACTAACAAAAGTATATCCTTCAAGTGGAAACGTAAGAAATTCTTTTTAATCACGTATCAATTGAAACCTAATTTGCTGATAACTAATATAGATTAAATAATTGGTTATATAAATGATATCAAGTGTTTGAAAAATGGGTTAATATAATAAAATACCATAAAATACATATCTTAAAATATTACAAAAGTATCGTACTTGTGTGTGTGTGTGTGTGTGGATCGCTGACACTTTCACGACCGCGCTCTTGAGGAGAATAATTTGACACTTTACATGATCTAATTTGGTTTCTCCAGACGTATTCGCCTTAGCTCACTTAAATTTTATTAATTCCAGTAAAAGCCTGTGTTCGTCGATTATAATGAAGATTGCAATCTTTTAATATATTAGTTAAGCACATTTCAAATAAAATCCTCGTGTCCAAACATCTTAATTTAAACTAAAAACGATGATTTAATAAATTAATTCACATCTTTTTAGAAGCGGAAAGCCGTCTATATAAGAAATATTACATATATTTGTAGTATATAAAGAAACAATAGTTATATTTGATAAAAATATAATGGATGTTAGTATATATATTTTGCACAATTCTTTTGTTTTTAAAACAGAGCAAGATATTTTGATAAGAAAGAGAGAAAGACATTTAATACAGCAAGGCTACAAAAAATTTGTAGAAATAAGAACTTTTAAATCTTTGGACTCTAAGAAGAGATGTAGAGCAAATAAACTTTGGATTTTTAATATAATTGAATCAATTTTTTGCCTCTTATAATTTATCGGAGATAAATCATCGAAATTAGAAAGTAGGTAACGAATTTGAATATATATTTCTAAGAAGCGCGACTTTCTTACACGCGAGGAGTGTGTAAAAAATCTTTAAGTCCCGATTATCCATCGCATAGTGAACACGGAACAAATGATCTGTCAGCTGCAGTCAGCACCAGGAAACTGGTTGGTGCTTCTTTCTTCTGCGGATTCTTTGAAAGTTCGATCTTTTCTTATTTCAGGTAAGATTTTTCATTGGGAAAAATCAGGTTTGATTTTTGATCGAAGAACAAAGAGAGAGAGAGAGAGAGAGAGAATTCATATAATTAAATTCGGTACTATATTCTGAAATAATGAATTCTTCTAAAATAATACAATGTTAGATAATATTCTCTCTCTCTCTCTCTCTCTCTCTTTGCTTTGCAATAATTAATGCGACTACATTGTTTACAATAATTAGCACAAAATCTTTCTGAATCTAATCGTAAATTTATCTAAAACAGAATCTATCTTCGGAATAAATATCTTCTGGAAATTGCTTAGCTTAGACAAAGAACTGGTTCGAAACACTCGAGTATCAATTATATCATGCCTGTCAAAATATCGACTTGCAGCAAGCATATTACGAATTCAAAGATCTAGACTGCTGCGCATTTTGCAAACGGAGGTGCTCATTATCATTACCGCAATGACGATCGTGACGATCGTGACGGTGGCAATGATCTTGCCAAGGCTGCGAGATCAGGCGGGTGAGACGATGATAATAATGATAACGGGACGGGAAGGGAAGGGACCGTCCACGCTTGTGCGCAATCGGCAATCCTTGAAAGTGCCAGCTGCGGGAAAGATTTTGATCCGGCGATCTACAACAATTACGCAATAACCATATTCTAAAGTTCTAAAGTTTGCGCGAATGTCGAGGGTAATGAGCGTAATACACAAAGTAACATGCGATGTATATCGCATATCTAAACATATATCTAAAAAATGCCGTACAGCTTGTTGCAGTTTGTTCCTCACGATAATGCTTGCAGTTTGTATCACTACCGGATGTTCTCTCAGTCATATTAGATCACTAAGGGACTTAAACTAAGAGAAATGACGGTTGCTCCAATGCCAAGGCAGCGATAGTTACAGGCTGATTAAATAATTTCGACGAATTAAACTGCATTTTATAATTGCATTTTATAATTGCAATTTATAATTGCATATTTGGTCTCCGCTAATACTTTGTGTTATGACGATCGTTCTAAAATTTATTAGAAATCAAAATATTTATTTATTTTTTGAATTTATTAATACACGTATGCGCGATTCTAGTGCGATGGCATTTTTCTACATAAACTTAGTGATAAAATCGTGAGTAACGCGAATACTCTTGTATATTAATTTACTGGCATGCATGAGTATACTAAAGTGATGACTGAAGTGTGACTGCAGTTCTGCCGAACTGATTATACCCCTTCAAGCATTTAACTAATTCGTTCAATTTTGCGTCTATTTTTGGATATCATTACGTTGCTTTGCGTGATTTTTATATAATATTTTCGTGTGTAACACAAAGAGACAGGTATAAAACTTATTTTTGAGAAGATATAAGATAATATTAAATAATTATATTATTATAAAAGGACAACGTCGTTTATATCGTTGGTTTCTGCAATGATTAATACAATTGTAAGTTAAAGCAGCTTGATATTTAATTTTTGTTAATAATTGTAAATAATACGCTTATAAAACACGCAGTATAAATGTACACTTTGACAATTCATCTTATTAATACGAAAATCAATACACAACAGAAATAACATCCTCATTTAGCAAGGAATAATGTTCTCTAATCGGTTTACCAATTCACTTAGTCTACTTGAGATATCTTTTATTCGCAATGTTTTCAAAGGGCCCTTATCAACAAAGAATATCACTCGTCTGTAGACCGTTTAAGTTTACAATGTCGCGGGGGCGTTCAATTACCAATGACAGTTGCGTGGCCGGTGCGGTGCTATGTTAGTAGACGGGCGTGATTACTCGCGTGTAACCGCGCCGATGTAACACGCGTCAACTGCCCTGATATGAGAACCCGAGACTAGCCATCAACTGCTGAACAATCTAACCATCAGTCTTAAACAGAATATATTTACGGCTGGACCGAGAGAGCGCGGCCGGCAAAGCCGACCGGTGACATCAGCATCCGCTTTCCACGTCGGCGGGCTTTGCTTTTCACGGTCACTCATTTGAGGTGCCTTGCCCGAATTAGAGATTTGCGTTGCAATCTGTAATTAGAATCGGCGTAATCACAGTGAGTTCCATTGTTGACGTAAATACGGCTATATATGGGGATCCTGGCTGCGATCGTAATGAAGGGCAATTCTAATCAGATGCCGAACTGGGCAATTTCGAAAATTCAATTAATCAGAACGAAATCAGATAACATCGGACCGGTTTATTTTCGGATTGTAAAACATTTGATACACGATGGTATCGATGCGCAATTGTTATTGTACGCGAAGAGGCAGCGTTATATCGTTACAAAACAAATAACGCGAGATCCATAAATTCTTGCTGCGAGATATCAGATTTTCAATAAATTTCGACCATGAGAGCAGAGCGTGTAATTTCGTATTATTATAATTCTGCATTGTAAATGAGTTGTATTATAATTTGTGTGGCGGAAAGAGATATCTAGATATGCGCAAAAGTCGGCCGGATTGAGAATGCTGAGTAATCCGTCAGTCATCCCCGCTTCAGATCGATCAGCGGTCGTCGGAGAAAGTTCATTATTACATTCGCGGATCTATTTTTAATATCTCGCTGTGCGAGAAACTCCATTCTCGACGGGACGCGTATAACCGACCGGCTTTTGCTGACCGGGCTCTCCGTCTGATAACTGCACCGATAAAGGAGGGTCGATAAACGTCGTGCGAAAGTCACCCCGCAGACCGACTAGCCCGTAACGCGGAACTTGGTCGGCTCTTCAGAGTGGAGGGTTGATATCGGGTGGCGGCGCCTGCGCCCCGTGGCGCACCCCCACAAATCCATCCGCCGTTATCGCCATGGCAGAACCGGCAGTTCCATCGCTGACGGACGCGCACGGGGTAGTCGGCGATTTCTCCCGCTGTCGCAACCACTGTCCGTCGGCTGTTTGCGGCCGCTCGTGTCGATCGTCGCGTCGATCAAGGTGCGGAACGTCGGCGAATATGCGGAAAGTGTGGTCGACGGGCGTCTGAAGATGCAGCTTCGATCGGCACCGAGCGGGACGGTAATCCAGTCGCGTCCGCGTCGCCTCGTCGCTCCTCGCCGTCGTCGTCGTCACCGTGACGGGACGTCGTTGACGCTATCCGCCCTGCGAGTCGGTCCCACCGCGGGGCCCGAGACCGCCGAGGGATGCTCGCGGAAATGGTCCGGTTGTCCTACCAGCACAGGGCGTTCTACTGCTACGTGATTCTCAGCGTGTGGATTTTCCTGCTGGTCGCTGGTAAAGAAAAAAGAAAACGCAATCTTGTCCGATCGACAGTTTTGTGCATTGCGGCGAACGCGTTTTCGCGGAATGTATGCAAAAATCTTAACAGCTGAAACTCGCGGAGATCGATATTTACGTTCTGAATGAGCACTGATGATCTCGATGCGGGCACGCGGAATTTATTTATATAACGCCAGAAACGTGCCAATTGGCATCTTATCGTGCTTGTAGGAAATTGAACTCGTCGGAATCAGACGGATCTTTGAACACTCGGTAAAATGATCTCGCGTTCCTGTAAATCGCTGGATTCTACAATCTTTAAAGTTTTATATTCGGTCGGGTATTTCGAGATGATTGGATATTTAAATCCGACACGATTACCGGTTATTTATTAATATAGAGCAAATCGCATGTAGAGATGTGTTATAGCTTAAACGCTTCTCTTCCTTACCGCTTTAATAATAGATTTATTATAATAGAACAATCTAATTTTCCAATAATATCTGTGGCTATATGTCGTCACATGTTATTGGAGCAATGATTGTCTTGTTTTCTTTTCTAAATGAGGAAAATGTTCAATTGCAGTTGTTTCAGCTGCATATCAAGCGATCATAAAACATTTATTGAAACTTATTCAATAAAAAATTTTCTGTTAGTAATAAAATTGTTTAATATAAATTTATTACAAATTGAATTATTTTTTCTTTTGCAGTGTTGATATGTATTATCGGTTTTTTTTTAATTTGTTCATTAATTTCATCGCTTGTCATCTCCAAACCATTCAACCCTGGTTATATCAAATTTTTCAATAGTATCAAATTTTCAATTCAGCACATTTTCGCCAACTCATCATTTCATGGAACGTTTAGCTGATCTTGTTTCCTAAACATTTCACATACTCATTACATGTACATTAAACATTCATCTTTAATATCTTCCGTTAAAACCGTATAACAGTAGTTTGCACTCGGAATCGAAACGAATTATGTTACATCTAAAGAAAGTCCGAGTCAATTGCTTCTTAATGTTTCATCTCCTATCATATCCGATAGTCATGAATCTATTTCGCATCTCGATATCTTTCTGAAATCGATTTATCACAGATATAAACGTGTTATATTTCGCCCAATATATTTTACCCGTTGAAAGCTAACTAATATAAATCATAAGAACAAAATCAATAAAATGAGATTGTTACTTAAATTGTTGTTTAAAAGCGATTTTTTTCCATCATACAGGTATGTACAAGTACATCGGCGTAGATCAGAAAACTTCGGTACAAACGAGAATCATAAACAATGATTTGTCACTTCGGGAATTCCCGAGAAATTTAAAGCCGGATGCAAAAACGAAAAAAATTTTTCGCTTTTGCAATTTGCCGCACGAGATAACCGCAGAGACCGAAGGTACGTTATACAATTATCACAAGATTTTTATAAACGCGCATCAAAACGGAATATTACGACGATAGAATAACAAATTAAACGGTTTAAATATCACAAAAAATAATCGTTAAAGTTCTTTGCAGATAATAATCGTAACAAATGATAAAGAAACGTAGAATTAATTCCAAATGCATGCCTTAATTCAGTGTTAAAGAAAGAAAACACCATTTAGTGTCTTATTTGAATCGCAAATTATCTTTCCTTTATCACAGTGCATAATTATACATACTTTAACGCGTTTTCTTATTGAATAGGAAAGCTCGAGGGCAATTTAACGCTTGGCGGTATCCTGATCTTTATCCGCCACGGTGACAGAGGTCCTTTGACACACATACGAAACATAAGCAGCATCAACTGCGGCGGTGATTTCGGTGGCGCGACGGAACTCGAGACGATCTACGAGAATTACGTGAATTTCGTGCAAAATGTGTCCAACTACTCGAAGACCGCGTGGGCCCAGTTTCTGGGCCCGTTTCATGGACTGCCCGTGCTGCCGGCAAACGCGCGCGATTGCAAGATCGGGCAGCTCACCACGCTCGGGATCCTGCAGCTTCTGAAAACCGGGATTCTACTGAGGAATGCGTATTACCAGAAGCTGAATTTCGGGAACGGCACCACCTTTGGCAGAGACGTCATTGTATACAGCACTTCCTATCGTAGGACTGTGCAGAGCGCCGTCGCCTTGCTCTACGCGCTCTTCGAGAACGATGGCTTTCAAAGTTTGGCGAGGATCAGTCTGCAGGAGAGCCAGAGTTATGCGTTTTGCAACAACGAGTGCGCCTGTCCCGCCGCTGAGAAATACTTGAAGCAGCATTTGAAGGTACGATCGTTAATTAAAACGTGATTAACTACGTATCGTCGATTTATATGTTACACACATATAATGCGCGTACTAGAAATAAAATCAAAGATTGTTTTCTATGAAATTTGAATGGACGACAGTTTTATAAATGATATAAATAACTTGTATTTATAAATGATTGATAAACATCAATGTCTTGCACTTTATAAGAAATGCATACACCGTTCAAGAAATGGAATCTTGTTCTTTATTAAAGACGGTTTAAAAACGGAATCTGCAAATGTCTTACTTAAGGGAGTTTTAATGAAATCTCATTCCAGTTTCTCAGAAACGTATTAAATAATCTGCATCAACATCGCTCTTCTTCCTGCTCTCTCGAGAAATCCAATAAAATTATGTAGGTCATTCTAGGCTTTCAGAAGTGACATGAATTTTTATTGCGCTATCTAAATAAAATTCTTGAAAGCGATAATAACTTGCTACGAAAATAAGTTTCGCTTTAATGCTCTTGCTAATCGTGCATTCCATGTGGCACGTGGAAATTTATCACATGTGATGCATGTGATAGTATTGATTTTTTCTAAATTAAAGTTGCGGGAGAGACTGCAACTCCAGTTCCAAGCTTCAGCATATAATTACAAACACCTCGGTGATTAAGATTCAAATGAAGATTCTGAAAAAAAAATAATGAGAATTGTTTGAACATAACTTTAATGAGCACACGAGAAAAGTTGATCAAAAAATTTGTTACAATTTCTAAAATTCATTTTCATTTTATTACCAAGTTTGTTCATATTAAAATAATAACTTTTTTTTTTATATGTACAAACATTGAAAAGTAATCTATATTTCTGTTTTAAAAATAATTCACTCTAAAAATAATTTTTTTTATTTTTGAAAATAATCTAGTTTTCGTGTTCTCGACAAAGTGTACTCTAAGCCTTGGAAAATGATCGAACGATAAGTTCAAGACTGTGCAAGCCCAAGCATTACATGTTACCTCTATCTTTTCCAGGAGACTTCCAATCATCTGAAATCTCATCCGGCCGTTGGCGAGTTGATCAAGCAGGCGGCGAGCGCCGTGTTCGAGCTTCCGGATCAGGCCCAAACGTGCGACCCGAACACGCTAAGGGACGCACTACTAACGTACGTGTGCCACGGCGCCTCGCTGCCGTGCGTGGACCTCGACGCACAGCAGCGGACGTGCGTGAAGAGCGATCACGTTACCGGATTGTTCGCCTACACGGACTGGGAGTCCAAGCAGGCGGCCAAGAGCAGCAGCCGCAACAAGTACGGGCTGCTGAAGGCCTACGGGATGCTGCGCGGCATCGTTACTTTCATGCTGCGCATCATCTCCGAGGCCAGGCCAAAGATTGTCCTCTATTCCGGCCACGATAAAACCCTGGAATACCTCGCCACGGCGCTCGGCATAGTCTCGGACGTAGCGACGCACTACGCCTCGAGGCTCGTCATCGAGGTCTACAAGATCAATCCGCGGAACGACAATCGCCTCGCCAGCGACTTCTACTTCCGCGTCATCGCCAACGGCCGGGATCTCACGCCGAGGATCCCGTTCTGCAGGAACGCCAACACCTACGTCAGCGACGATGGAGAACAGCTCGGCAAAAGGGGCATCAAATTGTGCCCGATAGAGAACATCGTCAGGCAGTTGCACGACGATTACTTCGTACCGTTCAACGCGACGAACTTTAAGGACGCTTGTTCGAGTCATAAGATTCGTTAAAAGTGATGGGCAGATTTCCTGTAAGAAAATAGATGAGTTAAAAGCAATTGAAAGAAAGTCTTTTCGGTGGTAGTGAGCACCTTATCTTCGAAATCCGGATTTAAGATTTTAACATTTTCTTTTGGATCCCTTTTTATCTCTTTTTATGATGGCACTATTTATTGCTATAGATATAATTAAATATTAAATATGAAAAAAAAAAGAAGAAATAGTGATATACTCTATAATTTTAGGTAAGAGATTAATACTCTTAATTCCAATATCCGTCTTAGGATAAAAATTAACAAGTGACAAGGTAGAGAGAAACATGAAATGTAAAGTCAATCTCCTAAAAAAATTGATAAATTTTTATCAATTCTTTTAATTCATCTACTTTTCGCATAACAAATTTATCTATCGACTGTTTTCGAACAAGTTTTTAAGCTGCACTATGCGTTAGAGCTAAATAATAAACCGACGTGAAAGTAATTACTAATATTAACATTCGGAGAAATTTAAGAAGAGCTAATCCCTCAATTTTCCTAATAAATTTTTCATATATGTGGCGGGGTGTGTGAATCACTTAAAATTCAGTTTTTCCGCCTAACAAGAAAGTACTCTATCTTCTATCGTGAAATAGTCAGATGTAAAATTATTCTTTTTGCCATATTCAAAACAAGATATCCAGCTCGAATTTTTCACATTTAGCTAACAATAAGTCGACGCACGGTTAAAGAAAATATAAAATCGTCAAAAATTGGGAAGAAAATCGAAGGAAATAAAAAATTCCATACTTTTGCCTCACCCTGAAGATTTAACCATAAAACTTTAATCTTTATCTTTAGATAAACCGAGAAACGATAGCGCTAATGAACCGATTAGTCGATTATATTTTATCATACACTCTATTGTATATATGTAAATACATGTAGTGCTTAGAGAAATATACATATTAAAAACAGCAGTCGTATTTCTTCTCCGATTATTAATATACGCGATCCTGACAAAAATACTAAGCAAGATTGATCATGTTTCGAGCAAAATATTTGTATCTTGATGAGTTTTTATATCTTTACCTCAAGTAACTGAAAGTTAGATATTTGAATCGATTTATCGATTTCGTAACATTATGAATAAAACTGTTTATGTTTAAGAATTATGTTAAACAAAATTTCCTTCGCAGAATTACTTTCGGCGAAAGAAGTGCATTGTAATATTTGTTGGTATAAATTCCGAATTTCGTAAAATCTTGTAAAAATGAAAAAAGTGCAGATAGTGGCAAATTTTCTGTACAGTGATTATAAAGCAAAATTTTTGTGCGAATGCAGAGCAAGTAGTGATAATGTTTCGTCCCACAAATGCGTGGGGGCATTTGTACGTTTAAAAACCAGCAGTCACGTGTATTAAAAGATCGATTCTTTATTACAGATTTCAGGAAAAGTAGTATTCACATTACATGCAACTCGCGATATATAAAAAGCTTATGACAATCTGTTCATAAATAAATAATGAAACCTGTTTTACGGCGTACAAGGCACGCAGGTTTACATATTTGTACTACCAACTATATCTATATATAACTTATACTATATATAAGCGTAAATAAAAGCAATGTCCAGACGATTGTGTTTATCGCAGAAATTGCTTCTATTCCGCTAACGATCAATAAAAGCCTCTCATGTGTCTTACAATGCTAAAAACTACTTTACATGCACACGTTCTTCTTACTTATTAATGAAGTTACGCCTGGTAAATGACGCCTCATAATACACAAGTGACATTTTCAAGTTACATCACCGTGATCAACAAGAGAAAGATACCGTGAATCAAAAGTCTCGTACGAGACGGTAACGATAAAAACATATAAAACCGGCAGTCTATTACAGAGTCCGTATAAATGCCCAGTTTCGATTATTTCCGGTCAAGCTGACGAAATTTACATTTTTATTTAGTTGTTTAACGATCAATTAGTACGATGTAAACCGTGCAGTCGAACGGAAATAGAAATCCCATGCAGATCGATCACTGACGACTGCAATCTAGTACAAAACATAGGACGTGTTTATTAAAAAGGGAGAAAAGATCGTAATAAACGACGAAGCAGAATTAAACGATCCAAGAATATAAAAAATCCAAGGACCTCAAAAATGCATGTTCATTGAACGCAAACGATAAGATTGTAGATTATCAGTGATAGAAAATTTCATGAATTTTACGATTTAACAACGAATTTCAATTGTCGCTTACATTAATACTTTCGAAATCTCAAAATCCATGGATTCAGAAATATAAAAATTTTAGATCAGAGTCATCCACGTCATCCCAAAATTTAAGAATTGATGTCTACGTCTTCGTGATCTAAAAACTGGAAAATTAGAATTGTTAAAATTGAATTATCAATAAACCGTTTTGAAAAAACACGATCTATATGATGCACTTTGAATGATTATATGATATTTGCAACGCTAACACTGTACAGTTGAACTTCTACACATGTACTAAAAATATATATGTAATGTTATTTTGAGATAATATGACTAGGTTTGGACTCCTCCATAACTGAGTCGAGTATCTCTTGGAAATTTCTTACTTGCTGGTAATACTGCTTGAGTGTAAAACCACTCAATCCGCTATTTCCACTAAAACATAAAATAATAATGGCGTGACAAAATATGCAGAATGTGTGCTTAAAATTTCATCGAGCAGACGAGACGAGTCAAATGTCATATGCTGAGAAAAAAACCAAGCTGATAAAATTGAAAACACTATTGATTTAAAGACACTATTGATTTAGACACATAATGCATACAATGATGGTAAGAAAAATGTTCCAGTGATGCACCTAAATATAAACTCAAAAATTGTGCTAATAACTGTGGCACATATCAAAGTATAAAATAATATCTATTTAATTAAAATACGTTTTTGTCGCTGGGTTATGGCTTATTTCCTTATTTTTACTCTAAAATTTTTTGATAATTATATCTTTTATAGGTCTAATAAGAATATATTTGACAATTCAATAATTGCCTTACTTACTTTGTGGTCCTTTCTCTCACGGGCGGCGAATGATTTAACGCTGTTTTTCTAACGGGCGGCGAATGATTTAACGCGAACGCGGCTCAATCAATTGACCCACGTTACCCATGATAGCGTTAGCGCCCACCCGTTTTCCCGTTTGCCAGCGTTGAATTAACCACTTCATTCTGTGCATACTGATTATCGCCAGAACAGCAATCCTGAAACGCACTTTTTTCTTGTGCGACATTCGCGTGTAAGAGCGTTGATCTTGAGTCAATTGCGCAAGCACGCACAGCGTATTCTCCTCGCAATATTGATAAGTGCCGAGGATGCATAACAAATATTTTTTCTGATACGCCAATGCTTTCCGTCTGCTGTCCACTCGTAGATATTGGCCATAAAAGTTTTGCAACTGAAATGCAAATTTTCATATTGTTACCAAAGTATAATTACAGTTAATTAATTTCTACGTTTACAGATTGCTACATTATCAAATAAAAGTATTAGGCCGTTATTGACGATGTTTTTTAATTTTAAAATGTAAAAATTAAATCGCACGATTTCTAATTATTAGAAATTATGATTTAACAAAAAATACCCTCTCAATGGGAGCTGTTTGCTGGCTTGAAGCTTATGTACTTTTCAATTCCTTTACTTGTCCTTCGAGCTGTTTCATACGTTGTGTCAAAATTTCCCTCTCTACCCTTACCCTGCCGAGTTTGTCCTCCAGATAGCTCTTTTCGGTAGTGTATTTCTCGACCGTCTCGTTCAGTTCTTTATTCCTCTGCGCAAAGCTAGAGCTCACCAGTTTGTGCCTTATATCGTCCTCTCTTTCGGCCTTTAAGTTTGACTATAAATATTCTATCAATTCCTTCAATTTCCTTTCTTTCTCTTTCGACGTTGTCAGTTTTGCGATGAGCTCAGTTTCCCGCTCTTTCCAAGATTCCACTGTGCGCGCAAGTTTCAGATCCCGATCCGAGAATTCCTTGAGTTCTTACTTCGCAAGTTTTATATCAGCCTCCAGATCTATCCTAGCCTCCCGAGCGATGCTAATCTCTTTGCGCAGTCCTTTGATCTCTTCCAGTTCGACATCTCGTTGTTCCTGCTTCTTGTCTTCAGCTTTGATAAACATCTTTAGCTGCTTCTGCAGATAATTGCATTCCTCTTCTCGCGCTTTCAAATCATCCGCAGTTCTTCGCAAATCAGCCTCCAGAATCTCTTTTAGACCGTTCGCTAACGCTAGGCCGCTGATCAGTCTTTCCCGTTCTTCGTCCGCGATTTCCAGCCGCTTCTCGCATTTGTTCACCTCAGTTTCCAGTCTCTTTACATTCACTCGCAATTCCGCATTATTCTCGCAATTCTCCTCGACGTTTTCACTTGTTCTGAAATGTAAAAAAGAAGAAAGATTATAGAATATAGAAAATTATTTATCAAATTGATTTTAATTTTTTAATTGCTTTATGCCGCTACTGTATTCTGTCAGCATAAATATTTGTCAAATATATCGAACAATGTGTTTATTTAGTTTATTTACTACTTTAAATAAATTGTGATTTATGAATAATAAAGGTAATACGAGCAAAAAATCTATATTTATAATATACAATATAAATGATAAAAACCTAAATAAATTAAAAAATAATTAATGCGTACCTTTCCAACTCGTCCTTGGTCACGTTTCTGTTGTTTTCAGCTTCCAACAGTTTCCTCATTGATATCAACTTTGAGTCCAGATTAATTTGTTCTTGTCTCATCAATGCCAGATCATTGCGAAGCTTCACCTCATTCTCCAGAGAAACTTGCAGCTTCTTTTGCAGGTACTCGACTAACTTGGTGTCCTGAACTCGTCCCGCTTCCGTTATTCGACGATTCTCCTCTATTTGCATTCTCAAGAACTTCGCTGTATTTCTCTCCGACGCGAGCTCTCTATCCAGTTTGACGATCTTCTTCGTCTCCTCTGCCAAATCCGCTTTCAATTGCAGAATACGATCTTCGTACTCGGCGATCTGATGTTTCATTATGTCGCGCTCGACTTCTAAGTCGTCTTTAAGTCTCTTCAGTATCTCATTATCCTTACGAAGCTCATTCAATTTCTGCTGATGTCCCTCCGTCGTTCCACCCGCAACTTCCTCGGCGTCATCCTTAATGACTTCCATAATCTGTTTGTCCAGTCGCGCAGAGAGATTCAGCTCGCGTTGAACCATATCCTCGATGTCGCTGTCATCTTGAGAGCGTTGCGCGGACGAATCTTTCAGCTCCAACTCTTTCTGCAGGCTCTGCACTATGTCCCTCAACTCCTCATTCATCCTGCGCTCATCCTTCAATTTCCTTCTTAGTTCCACAATGTTACCCGACTCCTTCATCTTACTTTGAATCGTTTCCAGCGCCCGATGCAGACTCTTGCTGTCGTCGCTCATCTGCCTGATCACCTTGTCCTTCTCCTTCAAGAACTCTTGCAGGTGATCAAGATCTCTTGATCCTTGCTGCTAGACGACGACGGCGACGACGTACCCGACTGAACGTCGCTCGTCCGCTTCGCCATTTCTTCCAACTTGCGGATCACCAGATCCCGATTGTTCAGACCGTCCCTCAGTCGCTGGATTTCGTCCTGTAACTCGGCGATCTCTCGCTCGCGCGCGTGAACCTTCATCTTGAAGTCGTACAGCTGCTTGTTCTCGTTCTCAATTTCTATGTTGCGCGTCTGGAGAGTTTCAAGTGCGATATCCTTTTCCAAGGCGAGTCTCTGCAATTCTTGCATCCTCTCTTGCAGCAAGAAATTACTCCTCTTCGTCTGATCCCTTTCTCTAACTTCCATCTCTTTCTTTAACTTTGTATTCTCCGTGTTTAACTCCGTGATGATCTTTTCGTTCACCTGCATCCTGTCTTTTTGATCCTGAAGTTCGTTCGTCTTCAGTTTCAGGATGTTCTCCACTTCCTCCAAGTCCTTCTTTATCTTACCTTCCGACGCCTGGGACAGTTCGTACTGATTTTTATAGAAATCCTTATCTCGCATCAAGTTTTCAACAGTTTCCTTAAATTCGTCTTCTATGTTCTTGTACTGCTTCTGCAAGGAAGCCAACTCTATCTCGTATTTGCCCAAGAGATCGGACTTCAATTCGAGCTCCTGTTGCAGAGTTTGCAGCTGATACGACAGATTTTCGATCTCCTTCAGTTTCTCATCGAGCAGTTCTTCGGCTTGTTGAGATTCTTCGCTGACGTCGTTCTTAGGGGACGATAATTTTGATTCGCCATCGACACGCTGCAACTCCATGCCCGAGTGACGAATGCCATTGCTGAAGCTGAGCATATCTAATTCCAACGGGGGGACCTGCACGTCCATCTTGTCCATATCGAGCAAAGGCACTTCCAAAGTGTTCAAACTGTTCGTATTCAAGGTGTTCTTCGACACGGATGTAGGAACTTTGAAGCTGGAGACATTGTGCGACGTTGCGTTCGTCACATTAGTCGTTCGAATAGCTTCGGGGAATTCCTCGCATTCCGAATGAATGGAGAGGATATCGCTCAACGTTCGCGCGCTGTTCTTCGCCTCCGCTTGTTTCGTCAACTCTCTCAGCTGCATGTCGTCCAAAGCGAGCGACGAATAAGCGTTTAATTGCTTCTCCTTTTTAGACAGTTGCTCCTTCAAATGATTAATCTCCTCGTTCTTGTCGCCCAACATGGTGTCGATCAGCTGCGGCAACTGCAACTCCAATTGCGTGTGCTGCTCCTGCGCTCCGAGTTTTATCTGCAATATCCGCTTTTCCTCCTGAACGACCTTCAATTGATCCTTCAGCTTTTGCAACGCGTCATTTTCCGCTCGCACGAGATTTTCCATTTCCATTTCTTTTCCGTCATCATCTGATTAACTCTCTCGAGCTGCGCTTTCAGTTCCTTCAACTCCATCTTTCTATCGGTGATGGTTTGCTCCAAGGAGTGATATTTCGTTGTAGCTTCGTGCAGCTGTAACTCCAAACGGGACGTTGCTTGTTTCTGAGCGAAGGGAGCGCTTTGCTTGTGTTGCTCCAATCGGCCGCGCATCGCTTCGATTTGGAACAACTGCTCGGACGCCGTCTGGTGTAAAATCTCCTGTTCCGCTAACAATTCCTCATTCTGATTCTTTATCGCTGTCAATTGCATCTCTAGATCTTTGATCCTCTTGAAGGCCACTTCCTCCGCTCGCGCATGTTTTAGCATTTTATCTTTTAACTTGAGTACTTGATCCGGGGTCAAACACCTCGTCGCGTCTATCTGCTCCCTGATCGAAACATCTTTGCTCGGTTGGCTCAAGCTCAAATTCGAGCCGCACATATGAGCGGATTCCAACTCTCGTATTCTTTTGTCTAACTGATTTTGCATCTCGTGAAGCTCCGCTTTCATCTGCTTCAGAACGGACGAAAATTGACGTTGAAGTGCTCGGAGCTTAACTTGTGCTTGCTCAGTTCCTCCTGAAACGTAAAGAATAATAGTCTAGCAATCATTTTTCTTTTGTACATTATTTATGTATTTCATTCAACTCACTGCAAATGATTGATTTGTTCGTTCAGATGTCTGCTTTCGCTGCCAGACTTGATAGCATCTAGCTCTTGAACCAGTTCTTGTTGATTCTTCGTCTGCGCGGTTATCACAGTTTCTAATTGGCCGATTTGCAGTTGCAAGGACTCTTCCCGTTCAATTTTGACTTGCAGCTGTTGCTCCAAATCGGTAATGATGTCTCGCAAGACCCATATTTTGTCCACCGCTGCCTTCAACTCACTTTCCTTCTCCGATTTCTTCGCTTCCATGTCGGATATTGATGACAACATCTCTCTCATCTGAGATTCAAGAGCCCCCACCTAAATCATAAATTGCATACGCGTATTGGCACGAGCTATCAATCCATCGATTTTTCAGAATATCACCTAAATGTCCACTCAAGCGTGACCCAACATGTAAAAAAAGCGTCGAGACATAATGTATGGTATCATATCTGGTTATGATAATTTTATGTTAATATACAGGGGTAAAAAAAAGAAAAATTATATAATTGACGATAAAAAAATTATTGTCATTATTAAATAAATAAAAATTATTGTATGTGAAAAAAGTTGAGAAATAAAATGACCAAACATATGAGTCTATCTATATAAGTAGCCTGAACTTTTTTTATTACATCACATTTAAATGCATTAAAAGCATTTAGTTTTTATGAATTATTTAATACACATAAATAAATAACCAACATAGTTATGTAATTTGTTAAATAAGATTTTGGCAAACCTTAAATGCATGTAGCTTTCTTACCCACTGTATGTGAATGAAAAAACCAGAAAAGATAAAAAAAATCAATTTATATACAGTGTCACTCACAGCTGCGCCGATGTCAATCGCTTGAAGCTCAGGGATGTTTGAAGTTGCTTCAGATGATAGCTCAGACTGCTTTGTGCGACAAACAGAAAACCCAAACCAGAGTGCAGAAAAACTTGTGTTAATACAATTAGTAGTGATGCGTGACACTAATCGCTGGCGATAAAATTAATTTCCGAAATATAATTGCCCTTTCAGTTCATAGTTACACTTAATTTCTATATTAATTATTACACTATTTTCAAGAGAATTAATTAAGAACTGACTGCTGGTCAAAGTGCATATTCCACAAAATGATGCTCATTTTCTATACTGTGCACTATAAGTTTTGTATCTTAAATTCGATCTCGTTTCTTGCAGACATGTGTAATACTTTCTTTTCCCAGCAATCTTGATTGTAAGTTAAGTATTGCGTTAAATAAACCACAAAAACCTATAGTTAAGTTTTGAAAAATGGCAGTCTTTATGCCAGTTAAAATTTCCTGGTTAGTGCAGCAACTATTATAGTGAATTCAGAAACTGAATTAATTTAATTAATCCTTAGTTAGCCATTGAACTTAATTTTTAATAATTTGCTTAACTGTAAATAGACTAACTATAAGCAAATATTATATAAATATTATAAATTTCACTTATCTCTTACATATCTATCTGCAGTTAAGTAAATTACATAATTAATGTATGCGCTTATTGAAATTAAGATATGCATTAAATACAAGTAAATGTGGTAATAGAATATTAAATAATTTCGAATTATAGGTCAAATATGTAATAAAATATTAAATAAAATTTTGAATTTTAATTGTTTTTGTTTATTCGAATAAATTTTTAGTTATTTATAATACTAAATATAATACTGAGTTGCACTTAATTTTTTAAAATATTTTTTACTATTCATTTGTTATTATTTATTTTATATTATAACATTTATTATATTAATCTGAAATAATAGAAATTGAACTCAATTATAGATTAAATATTAATATTTTTATTGCTAGAAATTTCGATAAGATTTGGAGATTCAAAAGAGGTAGGAGTTGTAAGAACGAAAGTAGGAATTGTATATTTAACATCAATAAAAATAAGGGTTTTCTAGGATAACAAGATTAAAGAAAGGCCAAAAGAAGACATAACACTTTCAAGATAGAACTTGTAGGTCAAGGAACATTATTAGAGGCACAAATAACCATGTATGAGGTTTATAGTAGGTTTTAAATTTCGACTCGGGAATACAATTATATAGTAGTGATGCGTGACACTAATCGCTGGCGATAAAATTAATTTCCGAAATATAATTGCCCTTTCAGTTCATAGTTACACTTAATTTCTATATTAATTATTACACTATTTTCAAGAGAATTAATTAAGAACTGACTGCTGGTCAAAGTGCATATTCCACAAAATGCTCATTTTCTGTACTGTGCACTATGAGTTTTGTATCTTAAATTCGATCTCGTTTCTTACAGACAAGTGTAATACTTTCTTTTCCCAGCAATCTTGATTGTGAATTAAGTATTGCGTTAAATAAACCACAAAAACCTATAGTTAAGTTTTGAAAAATGGCAGTCTTTATGCCAGTTAAAATTTCCTGGTTAGTGCAGCAACTATTATAGTGAATTCAGAAATTTCTGAATTAATTTAATTAATCCTTAGTTAGCCATTGAACTTAATGCATAATATTTATGTTTTAATTCCGATAATACAGATCTCTAAGCTTTTAGATTCTGATACCTTAATGTTTTTAAATTCAAAGAAAACGACATTTCTTTCTTAAAAATAATTGTCTCATAGGTATTGCAAAAAAGTTCTCATATATTTAAAATAATGTTCAATATCGTAAAAGTATTTTATAAATATTTTAAATAGCACCAACTAATTAAGGCTTAATTAAGGAAATCCTAAAGCTAGCCAGCAAGTGATTACGAGAAGCACATCGTGTTTACCATTTCTGCACTTAACAAAAAATTCGTTACATTAAAAAATTTTTTTAACAAAAATTTTACCTCTGAATTAATACGCATATCTCTCTCTTTCTCGCGCTCGCGTTCTTTGAGCTGCTCTTGCAAGAAGTGTATTTGTTTCGCGGCTTCATCTCGCTCCATTTCGCGCTCGCTCGCTTGCTCGTCCAGAAATCGTCGTGTCGCTCGCAGCTGCTTGTCCGCAGCTTCAATCTAAACAAATGTAACTTCAATTAGAAAAAAATTGCAATTAACAATACTACACGTGGCAAAATTAAATAACTGTCAAAATAAAAGAATTTACAAATTTACTGCTCTATTCAAACCACACGGTTTGTACATAACACAAGTTATATATTTATATATACATATTGTTATAAAAAAATAAAAAAAATAATGAAATTTTATCACAAATATGTTTCTAGTCTAATTATTGTCTTCAAGCTAAATATGCTACCAAAATTTTTACAAATATTCAATAATTTTTCAAAGCTATACAAACATTTTTTATTAAATGTAAAAAAGTTATGTTAATAGAGTTAAAAATTTGGAGAAGTAGATGTTATTGTAAAAGAGATAAAAGGAAGTAAATATTTTATATATTATATATAAAAATATTTCAACATGTCTATAATACGGCATGCAGAGCAATACAGCATGCAAACACTATTATATCTTGCAACACCATGCAACGAACATCAGCAAATATAACAATTACACATACTATTTGATTATGATAAATATGTGCATTAGGTTTAAAAGTTAGAAATGGATAAATATAATATTCTGAAAGCTTAACTGCGGTGGAATGTTGCTGTATTAATTTATTATGGCCAATTTGGTAGTAACTTACGGATAGCGTTTACAATAATATTAGTAATTCTATAATTTACCTTTTTGCAGCAAACCCTGTGAATGTATGGGGTAGGAGTAGGTTCTAAAGGTACCTGCTGGCAAGACAATAGAACGCCAATCAATCTTTTAAAATCTGCATCGCAGAACTTTGCACTTTTGATTTGGAATAGAATTTAAAAAAAATATGTTTCGGCTGCCACATACGTGGACAATGTTTAAATTGGTGGCTATTTTACAAACTGCTCGAGGAATGCTAAATATTTTGTACAGGGTGTGTGAAGAAAAGTGAATATATCAAATATGTAAGTTTATTTTTGAAATAAATTGCTAGAACATTTAAAATATAGAATAAATCTAAATATTTGAGGCTTAAAATTCACAGAATGTAGATGAATTTAGAGATTTGAAATAAAAGGGTGTACAGATTCAAAGATTTGCGAGGTAACGCGTAGAATTCAGAAATTCCAGGATCAAAGGACGTAGATATTCAGCTTTCTTAAGACACTCTGTATGTAGTGTGCATAATAAAGCATGATTCCTTCTAATCCTTATGCTACTTATTACATATAAAATATTAAAATAATAGAAAGTATTAACAAAAACCTTTCCACAATTGCACTGTGTAAAAAACGTGCGATAGTAACAAAAAAATGTGTTCGTGTTAATTGTTGCTATGTGATAAAAAACACGTATGAATAAATAACATAAACGCGAAGCTTGTAAGATACAGAAGTCTATAGATTCAATAAATTATAAAGACAAGTTTTCAGTGAACAATGCATCGCAATATTCATCACTGTACTGGCATACCAATATCGAATAATCAGAAATCATGCAACGACGCATTTCGAGCGAGAATAATAAATGAAATTTTACCTGTTGCTGTAAATCTTCTCTCTCTTTTCTAGCATCATCCATTAGTTTATCGTTTTGTCTGCAAAGCTCCTCTATTAATTGTAACAAATAAGACGCGTCACCGCCGCCGTTTGACAATACGTGTCTAGCTGCAAATTGCATAAAAATATGAAAAATATGCAAATATTTAAACTGTACAAATACATACGAAATAAAATAATCAATACCATTTATAATAAAAGTAAACATTTTTATTTCCATAAAATAAAAGTTATTATTGATTAGTAATCATAAGCTTGAAAGACAAAGTCATGTCTACTTTTGATAAGTAAGTTATTAATGAATATAAAAAGAGATAAGAATTTACCTTTTTCTTGCACTTGCGAAAAATCTTGTAAAGCAATGTCGCCCCTGGAAAGATCACTTTCGCCATATCCTTCCGTAATTACTTCTTTTTTGTTTTCTGCGCTGATCAACTTTTGCTGCAGTTCCCTTATATGCAATCTTAACTGTTCCGTTTCTTCTTGATAGGTAATTATTAGAGTTTCAGCTTGGTCCAGTTTTAAGGAAAGCTCTTCATTAATTTTCCTTGCTAAGAGAGCTTCCTTCGATGGCGACGACGATGGCGATTCGCCACTTGGTAACGAAAGATTGAGGATTTGTGTGCTATCCGACTTCAAGCGTCTCAAAGAAGCTTTCAACTCCTTTCTTAGTATTTCGTATATGTCTTCATCAATTAAACTCTGCAGTGTCTTGTTATCGCTGTTAACGATGGAAGTTATTTTGCTGGATTGTGGAGCAAAATGAACTCTTTTAATCGATTGGTTGGACGAATCCTTCCGCTGTGTCGTAGATAGAATATTATCATCCTTGCTTAGATTTCTTTCATTAGTGAAGACAGATTCTGTCAACTGTCTTTTTAAAACCTCGTTGATCAGAGTGTTGTTAACTTCTTCCTCACAGACAACGAAGTAATTGACTAATTCTCCAATTAAGTTCTTGAGAGTTATACATGTTTTCCTTAGGTTATCCCTGTTAAAAATCAGATATATAATTAAGCAATAATGTTAAATAATACGTATATTACACAATAAACTCCAAAAATCTAAAATTTTTATTTTAAAATTCAATGTTAAAAAAAATTCGAATATTAAATATTTTAATGCCAGACAGCTTTAAGTCAACATCTAATTTTCTAGTTGATCAATCATAAAATAATATTTTCTTCGATAATTATCAATCACCTTTCTTCCATGATGCTATTTTCTGAAGATCTGACACTGCTGACTTCTTGTTTGTTATCGCCATTCTGAGTATTTGTTTTAAGAACGGCAATTTCCTTTTGATGTTGCTCACGCATTTGCGTCATAAGGCAATCGTGTTCATCTTTCAGACAAGCTAATTCAGCGCTATGCATTTTTCTCAACTCTTGGATTTCTTGTTTGGCGTTACATGTGAATTTATCTCGTAATTCTAATAACTCAGCTGGCCAATTGTCTTCTTTGTCTCCCTCTACCGATAATAGTGTCTGCACAGTCACAAAAAACTCAGTAAATATCGTGTAGTAAGTTATTGAACAAATTAAAAGAAATATTAACAAAAATTTTTATAAAAATGCAACATAGTAATACATCCAAAATTTATAATTATTTAAAAAAAAATGTAATCAAAATGTAATTTAACTAATGTTATTTTTTATATTTTACTTTTAATCAGCCCATTTTCAGATAATTTAAATCTACCTGAATTTTTTCTTGAAGAGCGGTGACAATATCCTGTCTAGCTAATGCGATCTGCTCTGCCAATTGATGATTATATGCATCACGCAAACTCGATAATTCACCATTTTCCAATGCTTCCCATTCTGTCTGACAATACTGCATGCAACAAAGTCACACAGGGGCATGTTAGTCACAATTCAACAGGAATTAATTATAATAAATAAAAAAAATTATAAAGATCATAAGAGATCATACTGATAAAAGAAATGTCTAATGCTGATTAATGATGCACACTGACATGCATTTATATTTTCACACACATTCTATGAATTTTATGACATAAATTTTTAATCCAAAAGAATATGTAAGTAGTTTGATAAATTTATTCAAATTCTAAAAGAACTTTGTTAATAAATAATATAATAAATTTAAACTTTTTACATTTTAAATTTAAATTTAAATCAACTATTAATTAATGTATTTTAAAATATAAAATTAATACACTCATTGAAATTTGGGCCTTATTGAGAGGATTCTCGATTGTTATTAAAAACAAACAATTTTAGCTTATGACACGCATGAAATATTAGAGAAGTTGCTGTTGTCAACAAATCAGTATTACAAAACAAACTCATAATAAGAGAAGAATTTATCCTTACCTGATCCACAGCGAAAATAGTCGAACGTTCCAACTTCGCCTCGGTGTCGCGAATTTGACATTCATACAACTCCTTTTGTTCCTCTAGCGCTTTCTCGTAGCTAGCTTTGATATTCTGAATCTCATTCACTTTATATTCCAATTCTTGTCGCAACGTTTGAAGAGTACCTTCGAATTCCGATTCGAGGCGTGTATTATCTTCTAAAATTTTGCCCTTTAAAGATTCATCAACGGCGCTGGGCGTTGCCGCTCGAGAGTTGGACACGTTCAAGCAATCTCCGGCACCGCCAAAATATAGATCATCCGTCAGCTCCTCAGTTTCGCTGTCGTTGTCGGAAATCCGTTTTGATTGCTGGCTGAAGATTTCTTCGGAATACTGTTTTTCCATTTGTAAACATTTCCGCTCGAAGTACGTCCTTAGCTCCTCCATCTCCTTGGCATGACGTGCCTCAAGTTCGGATTTCAAATCGTTCAATCTTGCATCGCCATCCTTAAAAAATAAAAAATGCTATTTGAAAAGGATAATTACAAAGAAACAAATATTGCAGGAAATTATGTTAAAAAAATCAAATAAAGATAAAATTGACTTGCCTTGAGATTCTGCAGCAGCGAATGAAGTCTGTCGATCTCTTTGGCAGAATCTGTTTTAACAGATTGCAGCTCCTTTTTACATCGATTCATCATATCTTCAATTTCCTGGCCAAGCAGCTCCTTTTCCATCCGTAAGTTATCCAAGGATCTTTGCAACGAATCTGCGCTCTCCTGTTGCTTTTGCAAACTGGTGTTGTCCGTGTTCTCCGTTTTATCCACCGCTATTTTCTCGCACAGCGTGTAATAACGACGTAGTTTGAATTTGACTTCATCTAAACTCGACTCGTCCAGAATCTGTTGCAGCTCCTTGTACAAGTTCTCGTTGTCATTTTTCAGATAACTATTATCTATTAACGTGCTGGCACTAGTGTTATGTGATTCTAGAACTTTTTTCTGGTCTACTGCACTGTGGTCTGATGCACTGTCATCCAAACTTTCGTTCGTTTTATGCTGCTTGGATGACGTAGTATTCAGAGAAGTATTAATTTTACTGCTGTCGCTCATCAGCAGAGTCTGATTTAATTTTTCTTCGAACTCAGCGCATTGAGCCCATGCGTTGGCCAAACCGCATCTTAATTCGTTGCACTGCGATTCCATCTTCTTCGCTTTCTCCGTCATTTCGGCCAAATCCTTCTTGCATCTCATATTCTCTGTTTCTTTCTGCTCCATTAGTAGCTTTAGGCTCTCAATTTCCCTCTGCTGATTTTCTATTCGCCGTGTCGGGTCGTTTTCGTTTTCGACATTCACCAGAGAAGTTGAAGTTGAACTCTGTAGATGTTCTTGAATAGAATTATCAGACGTTACACGATTGGATTGTTTCGATGAATTGACTTCCTGCTGCAGCTTGTCGCAAGTATTTTTCATGTCCTTCAGCTGCTTCTCGTAGACTTTTTTCGCGAGATTGGCTTGTTCTAGTTCGTCATTTGTCTTGAGCATCTCTTCTTCGAGAATGTGAATCTTTTCGATCAACAGCTTTTCCATTTCCGTTTTCTCTTCGAGTTTTTGCTTCGTCATTTGGTTCTGGACATTCTCGTCGAAAGTCTTGTACATGGTTTCGCCTAACTCGCTAATCGTACTGATACTCGTGGCATCAAACCGCGACAAGGATCTCTCCATTTCAAATATTTTACCACTCAAAGTTCTCTCGTGTACCTGACTGTTTTCAATCATGGACTGTGCTGCAGAATATCTGTACGATAGATCGTCCAACTTGAATTTGAGTGTATCGTTCTCTTGCTTCAGCGTAGCGGCGTTAAGCAAAGCCTGTTCCAGCGATCGCTCGATACTCTCCTTGGACTCCAGAATACTCATCGACGTGACGTGTTTCGACGTAATTTCCTCCAGTTGAATTTTATGCAATTTGATTTGCTCGTTCAACAATTCTTTTTCCTTTTGAAAATGCAAACTTTGCATTCGTCGTTCGTTTTCCGCCTCAAATCTCAATTCATCCAGTTTTGTTTTGTACAAATGAACTTCTGATTGAGCAATATTTTGCGACTCGGCCTGATTTACCAACTCGAGCTTTAACGCCTCGATAGTTTTCTTGTAATGGGACAGTTGAGTTTGAAAAACGGATAATTCTTTGGCGTGCCTGGTTTCCAAGTCAGGTAATTCCTTGTTTAAACGATCTGCTAGTACTTTGTTTTCGTCCTTCAGAATTTGCATGCATTCTTCATGCTTGGCTTTTATATTCGAGATTTTCATATTCATTTCGGCTTCATTTTTCGAAGTTAAATCCTACAATTATGATACATGAATAATACTGTCCAAATTTTACAAAAGAATATTACGATAAAAGTGTTATAAAATTACCTTTAACTCTTGTTGATGACGTACCGCATTAGCATTTGTCACAGTGGTAAACTTGTTTAAAATATGCTGCATATCTTGTTTGATTTTATCAACGCGTGCTTCGTATTGTTTTTGCTGCTCTAAAGTTTCATCAATATTTAAATTTTTCTCCGCAGCACCAAGACGGATTTGTTCATTTAGATTATTTATCTGCATTTTGTAATCATTGATTTCCGCGTTTCGTGTTTCTCTTTCCATCTCTAATGTTTGTACATGTTTACGAATGTCTGTCAACTGTGCGTTTAATTGACGAATTAATGTATCTTGATCGCTCATTGTCGTTTCCAGAACCTCAATCTGAAACGTTCATAAAATCGTTTAGTATTTAATAATAATTTTAACAATTGCAAAATGTAGAAATGTGAAGTGTGCTATTCACCTTCTGCTGCAAGTTCACATTATTTATAGTAGGATTGGTTAGCTGCATTGTATTTAAGGCATTAAGCTGTTTTGTAACAGCATCTCTGGCAGATAACGCTTGTTCTAAAGATGATGTCAAGTGTTCTATTAGATTGTCACGTTGATTTACTGCCTTTTCAAATTCTTGCAGCTGTTTTATAAAAACACAAGATGTAACAATATATAATAATTTATAGTAATATATATTTAATATATATAAAAAGCAGAGTCTAATTGTTTAAGCTATCATTTTTAGATATTCAAAATTATAAATGCTTTTCTTAAAAGAAAGGAAAAGAGATTACCAAGCACAAAGAATAAGTATTGTATTAATAAAAATTTCTTAAAATTATGCTTTATAATACTAACAGAAAAATTGTATTCTTTTAAATGTGCAGCATACCTTTACATGATACAAGGATATAATATCTCTTCCATGTATACTGCTGCTGCGACTTTGTGATGAATTTGGAGAGGACGCCTCTGCTCGTAAATGATCAATTTCTGCATTTAATGCTCCAACTATAGCTTCCTTTCCTTGCAATAACTCTTCCAACTCTGCGACTCGTCCCGCAAGTCCTTCCAAATCAACATCAGCTTCTCCTTCACTTATACTAACACTACTGTGCGTTATGTCTCTTGAGGATATACCTTCATGTATCTAATATAACAACAGAAGACATATAATAAGAGATTAAAGTGTACTATTTGTATTAATTACCTAAATATTCATGCAATCTATTAGTTTTATTGTTCTTACATTGGACTCTTTAACATGCATCATGGATTTATCAATGGCCAATGATTCATCGTCAGACTGTTCTATATGCTCCACATTTGTGCTTTTTCCTTTGGCAGATTGCTGTGCCTTGTACTTCTCCAACTGCAACAATCAAGATTGTCATTCTTGAATATGTTAAATATTAATAGTACAAAACAATACATTCTCAATGCAGAATTTCTATAGTGTTTCTTCAAAAGAAAATTAATCAAACAGGAAGTGATGCATAAAACAAAAATTAACAATGTAAATAAATAAAAATTGATTTACTTGTGCAAACATAATAGGAATAATGAGTATATTAGTAACAAAAAAAAGAAAGATTCTCACCATTTCTCTGCCAGCCTCCAGCGAGCGTTTCTTTCGCTCGTCTTCATCCTGTGACGTGCTCATCCTGACGAATTTCGGAAGTCGACGTACATAAAGGATGCAAAACAAAGTTCTTTAACCGCCCATCTACCTTGTCATTAACTACATTTTAAATGTTACACTTCCGCATTAGCTAGAGTAATTGCTGATTGTCATGCGATTATCATGCACCGCGGTATCGCTATATTAATTGTCCGATCAAATAATAAAAACACAATTTTCAAAGAGAGAATAAAGCAGTTAGAGTTAATAAAACGCTCAACGAAAGCGGTTGGAAACGGTTGGTCTAAAACGGTCGCGCGTCAGTCATGCCAATTTGACGAATGGAAATTGTAAAATTCAGTTAGGAATGTTGCGAGCAAGTCGGTAATGTCAACTTATCGATGTTTGTACATTTATTAGCCGGCAGATTGCACTATGTGCATCAGTTGATCGGTAAAGCAACTTGTGTCGGTCTTTCGCGCGCATTGCGCATTTCTTTGGGTTTTTATAAAGTGATGAGAATTTTTCGTTATATCTTTTCACTATTTTTGGGAAAGCAGGATAAAATAAATATTATAATTTATGCAAATTTCTTTAGTGAGTTATAATTATGTTAATTGAATAAAGTTTGTGTTAAAATTCTCGTGTTAAAATCTCTCAGAAAAATATTAATTCTGAATACATTTCATGAATATATCATCGCATCAATAAAGATAAAAATAGAACTTACGCAAAAAAATGGCAAAAAATGACGCTGTCCCTGTTATAAGCTTCGCTTGTCAGATTTACTCGGATCTGCCATTGTCATTTCGATCAATACAAGCCTGTTCTGAACACGTAGATCCTCGTGATAATTTAATGACATGTCGTTGCGCGCAAATGCCCTACACGTTTCATGTGTGTACTTTTACACGTCGTTCCTTCGTGTCTTAATCCGATCGTTCCGGTCTATCAAGAATCGAGCGCGGCGAATTAGAGATAATGCGAAATTCACGAAGCGTAAAGGTAGGTTCAATTCGCTTCTATTTCGACGGAAGTTCCTGCTTTACAGACACGCAGCTATAGCGGCCGTAACGACGGCTTCTGCTGTTCTTACTATACTGGGTGGGCGCGTTTAACGATGCGAGTACTCACAATGATGTCACGCACATGTTCCTGATACACAAAGTTGACCATAATGCCTACTCACTGTAGAGATGAGTTTGTTATTCAATTATGTCCTTTGCTAATTTGCTACAAACAAGCTTTTAAACTACAAACAAGTTCTGCCTTCACTCATTAGCGAATGTCTCGTATTTCTGTAATTGTTACTGAAAATTGAAACTAATTAAATGTTATGTTTTAAATAATTTTCTTCTTTATATTTTCTAAATTATTTTTTTAATTATTCTTATTACTTTCTAAATAATTTCTTAAAGTAATTTATAAAATAAAATGCGCGGTTATCAGACTAATTGAAAAAATTACGAGTCATTGTAATGCATAATCAGTTAAGACATTGTTAAGTTATCAAAACACCGTCATCGTGCTTGTTCGATGTTGGGTGTGAAAAACAAGATGTTGAAGCTATTTAGAAGCGTTTAGCCAATCTTTCAATTCGTCGGTTTTCCGGTTCATTAAAGATTCAGATGCAATCAGATGCAAGATGAATCGATAGAGCATCGCTGATAGAAGATTGCGCGGCGATCATAGACGGGGCAGTGATCGAATAATTGAATATTTATTTAAATATTTCTATGTTGTCATTTACTTCCGCGGGGGGGTTAATGACTCGCTCTAATGATCCAATCAACAACGCAAAACTTGCTATGTCATTCAAAACGCGGAATGCGCTTACGGATTTGTACTTACGATTAGCGAAAATGACTCATCATACGAGCACGGATGCGGTGGTCGATGACTGCTGGGCGTTTTGCAAACTGTCATTACGTATAATTTTTGATCGCTATTGTGTTGCACTTACGGCAGGGATTCTCAGTCCTGTAATATGGAGCAAAAATAATGAAATTAGATAATAATTCAGTGATAGTAACGTAAATGAGCGTTCCTCAATAAAATTACAATCCAATTAAACATAAGTCTCATTTTTTAAATAAAGTTTTAACTTGAAGCTTAATTACTAACTAATGATTAATACAATATTAATAATAACGGATTATAATATTGATGTCAAAGTCGAAAAATCTGTGACTTTTAATATTCTTTTCTCTAAAAAAAGAATTCTTGGCATAAATTTAAAATTTATGTCAACAAAAATTTTCAGACATCTGCAGAACTTCAAAATATCGCAGCTGTGCAAATTTGCTTTTGCCAGCTTATGCAAAATCTTTTTTTTATCATTTTAATCACTGTGTATGTGATGCATCTCGAAAACTATTGGAATTCTTGCGCAGGCAGAATCGGAAGAAGCCGGAGAAAGATTCGGCAGGGTCAGCGAAGATTGCTAAGGTCAAGAGCAGCGACGCGACTGCGTAAGATCAAGATAGAATAGTGAGTCAAGATTCAAAGATAAGATAACAGTGAGAAGACAACGACAAAATTTCTGAAAAATAACGATCATTCTTCTTCGCAATTCTGAAGAAAAATTAATCGCAAATTTGCGCCAAAAAATTCAAGAACACTCGAACATGAAAGAACATCAATCGAAGATCTGTCGGCCGTTCGAATCGTTCTTGGCCATCGCATCGGTTCTCCCAGCTTGCTGCCGGCTCCGTTTCGCCTTGCCGTAACAGCCGGCTCTCGTCCCTCTCAGTCGCGGCGGTGGCATCCTGCTCGCAACACGCCTCGGCCCGATTTGAAAAGCGGCCGCCGCCGCCGCCGCTGCTTGCCACCGCGCCGGTTTTTAATCGGATCGCATTTCCGGCGTGGGCGAGGGTTTAGCCGCCGCATCTCCGTAAGTCTCTCGTAAGCCTGCGGGTACTCTGATACTCGATCGTATGAGCGTTTGCCAATTTATAGTGGCGGCATAACATGAAAAATTGACTATTAAAAAAAGATAGTAATCAGTACATTGCTCCTTTGTTCCGCCTTCAGTGAATAAAATTAATTTAAGCCTATAATTTTCTTTGAAATTATTGAAAGTATTTATTGTGCGTATAAAAGAAGTGAATTGCCTCGAAAAAGTGTAATTGGAAAAAAATAAAAAATAAAAAAATAAAAAAAAGTAAAAAAAAAACGCTGCTCCAGTTTTTTCATTAAGTATTAAAATTGACAGTCGCGTTCAATAATAATTATTCCTAAAAAAATTGTAATCTATAAAAATTCATTAAGTAATCTATAAAAACTCTGTTTTGTAATAACAACATTGTTATATCTTTTCTTTAAAAAAAACGGAGATCTTGCTTTGGAATTTCACGAGTTCGCTTAAAATAGTGGGGATCGATAAGTCGGTATCAAATAATTAATTGGCAATAAACTAACCTAGACACGTTTCGAGAAACAGACTTCCCAAACTGGTGCTTACGAAACATCATCTATAAGTGAGCTCATGCGATTTTAATGGTGCGGGAAATTTGTGGAAGTTTATGGTTCTATGTGAGCTGAAACGTAACACAAGACTTTTTTTCTTTTTTTTTTGTTGAAAAACGAGATACACCACGTGCGGACGGAAGCAGTGTGGGTGGCGAAAGAACGGTAGGCGGTATTCCGAAAAGTAAGTTTCTTTTCCTGGAGAGGGAGATTTATTTTTGTCTCTGGTCACATTTCGCAGAAAAGCGCAGATGACGACACGTCGTAATTGAAGAGCATAATGTATTCGTCGTTTAACTACTTTTTTTCGTTCCATTGCCATCGTTCTTCTTGTGAAACGCTGCATTTTGTTTTAACTCGATTAACGCTATTGCATGTGCATCTGACATCCCGTAAAAGAATTTTTTTCTTGATGGACAATAATATAAATTTTAACTTCCAATTTTATACTGATTTGTGAAGTAAATATCGCATATAAATTTTGTAAAGAATTATATTGCGCTATCATAATTATTACAAATAATTGAATTATATGCAGAATATTTTGCTTTTGTAAACTGCTAAAATTTTTTAAATGTTCTGTAATCAAGTAGATTAAACAAAAAATTAAGTTTTTTACATTTCTCAAGAGAACAGAATTTATGTAGATAGCCTATCATAAAAATGTAAACTGGTTTTCGAGAATTTTTACAATCAAGTTCTTGATATAATGATTTCTCTGCTTGTTGTCGGATTGTTAGTGTGCGGTGCAGCTCATTCAACTGGCACTTGTGGCATCTCGAATATAATGATCCGAAGGGTTAGTGTACCTTCTCACGATAGTGATCCTTAATTCTAGTGGCAAATTTTTTTTTAAATTGCTATATATTTCAATAATAAGCAACAGAAATATTTATAAAAATATTTATTCGATTAATTGTGAATTTAAAATTTTGCGACAAACTCCGACGTAAATTTTCTCATTTCTATTTTCCAAATTATTACATTATTTAAACTGTAAAATATTAAAGTCCAACCATCTTTAATTGCGATAAATTACATAAAAATTTCCGGAACTGTGTCCAAGGCCAGAGTCACGTATCGCGCTTGAATCCACGAGAAAATACGCACACGATAAAATTCCAATCAATGGCACCTCAGATACGAAGATTTGCGAGGAAATCCACTTACACGTGCGCACGATAAGATTAAATTCGGTAAGAACCGAATGCTGTTTTCCCACGAGGTTTTAGCGGAGCATGAAATAGAACTGCTCGACTAATAGCGAGGCGATTCGTCGTAGTCCCGTCCTGCGAAAGAGACGATGACTCTTCCTCTACGGTCATCCTGTTCACCGGTCGATCGAACGGTCTCTCTCGAGAATCTTTGATTCGAGTCATGACCGCGACAATCTGGTCCCACTCGCCATCACAGCGGTCAGCCAATGTTGATTCCGCATAGTCTGTGGGAACAATTAGCGTTCCCTCGCCGAGAAAGCCTCCTCTCCTCCGCTCCAAAGCTTCTAAAGACGACAGCTGGATCCCGATCTCGAGGGCACACAGCCATGCAGACGCTAATGTAAACCGACGTTTCCGTGGCTGACTAATCGCAACGTCTGTTCTCAGACATACGATTGTTCCGTTGAGAGATACCTCTAACTGACGCTTTCGAGAACTCCACGAGTAAAACATGATCTTCCAATATCTACGATATTGCCTAATGCGAATTTTTTTAGATGCAACTTCAATTTTTAGATACGCTTGCGAATAAATGCGAAATAATTTTTAGATATATTTTTACATATATTATAAATGTATTCTTGAAGCAATTCCGTTTCGCAACGTAAGATTAAACTCTTCAATTTATTTAAGAAAAACTTATTTCATTTTCTCACAATAATATATATTAAGCGCATTAAGTTTTCTAACGATTTGATCTAATTAACGATTTTGTATAAAATTCGGAGCAACTACCGTGCAAATTTTCAGTGTTTCAGTGATCATCTTTTTTTAATTTGACTTTGACTTTTTTATTGATATTTATTGCATTTACAACTTGTACGCTTCGTACGGTAAATTCCACTTTAAAGGGCCGCCTTGACCTAAACCCCACGGTATTCCGTCGCTTCCGTTTTAATCGGCTAGACGCCGCGCTCCGAACACGATCTAGCGGCGCTCCCCGGCTCTGACTTTCGGCTTAAACCGGTTCTCCCGCCTTTCGTACGTGCGCTCGTTCGTGCACGTCACTCCGGAGCGTATCCTTTAACGGGACGAACACCGGGATTTCGTAGATTCGTGGAGTCGTGCGTATAATCGCGATTACCACCGCGTCTCGGCTACTCTCAGCCAAGCTCTTCTCGCGAACGCGACAAGTTGACGACAGTGCGATTTCTTTTTTCACCGCAACGGTGCTCGCATCCGACACACTTGTTTTTCTGGAGGTACCGGAAGAATCGCAGAAAGAGCAACGTAATCGATATTCAGTACGCATCTTTGTCTTGTTATCTTTTTCGAGTGATTCCGCAAATTAGAACCGGTCGCTCGTTTCTCGTCCTCGCAACGTCATCAGCTGGTAATTTAAATGTGCAATAACTGATGATGTTTTTGTAGAAATTTTTACTTTTGCAAAAAGTATGTGACGTGATAATTTATGATTCGATTATAATATTCATGAGAAGTTTTACAAAATAATGCGACTGATATAAATGTTTGCAAGAATATGATGTAATTTATCACACCGATGCACTGAGTAAAATATACGCGCAAGATTTTTGATAAAAATCGCGTTGACGTGTGTAATACGCTTTAATAAGAGAGTAATTAGAGGAAGATTAAATGTGTTCCGCAAGTAATTTAATAACTACACGGCCTGATAGAGCGTTGAATTTGCGTCGTTCATCGCATTTGCGATAACGCACCTGTAAGTTAACTGACCTTTGAAAGAATTTTTCAACGCAATTGCATTTCCTCTTAATAATCCCGCGTGATATGTGTGAACGGAAGCAAGTGTGCGAAAGTTGCTCAGAAACAATCGATGATAATAATCGACTGCAATCTTATAAATAATGGATTAGTGAAGTATGTATTATTACACAAGTTCAATTATCCATCCGGCTGAATTATCTTGACTTTGCAGAATAGAACATCGAAATATTTGTAATATAATATTATCGAATAATTAGTCATGCGTCGAGAAAATGCGCCGCGTCTCATTATTAACCGTTATATAGAATTGCAAAATTATGGTTTGCAATTCATCCAAGAATTATTCAGACATTCAAGTAAAAACTTTAAAAATGTTTTTTTCGTGGTGACACGTGTGACAAGAAAATCGGCGAATTTGCGTGCAACCTTCGTGACTAGAATTGCAAAAGTTTGTTAAAAAAACACCTCATTACTCACAAGACAACTTTGTCGATATGCGCATGTATGCTTATTAGCCGACCTGAAACCGGTTTCGTCAAGGGTCGAGCCTTTGTCTACGTCGATTTAGAAGGAGATAAATTAGCCATAACGATATGGATACAACGTAGAAAATGCGTTCAGAGCGAAGAACACAAGATATATATATTATACTTCGTTTTAAACATTCAGAACTTTGCTGTACTTGCGAAAATCGTTCAGAATTTTGCGGCAAAAACATTTACTAAAATGTCGGTCACATAATTATGAAAAATATGTAATTATTATCAGCAAATATTTCATTGTAAAAAATTGATAAAACTAAAATTTTTACTGGGAAATCCGACTGATTATATAAAATACTTGTGTAGCGTAAACCCGCTGCGAATTCATAAACGGAATGTTACATTCCTAAGCGCGATCGTGAAAATAACAGAACCGCGCCAAGTGAATTCGCCAAGGAAAGACTTGTAACGGCGACGGGTTCTCATTTCTGGATACGCCGTTTCGCTTATTATACTTCTCCATGACTTTCTATGTATATACAGAGCGTGCTTTGTTTTTAGTAATCGCAGATCACATACTCGGCCATTCAGTACCAATCATGCAGAAATATTTTTTCTGAGTTTGCAACGATGATTCATACATAAATAATTGCATCTTTATTAAAAATGAAATATTCTTCCAAAAATAATTTTGTTTTCTAGATAATCATAAATTATTTTAATATTCAAATATAATCATAAAATGCAATTATCATAAATAAAATACGGTGGATATTAATGTAGAATTTTACGTTTTTTAAAAACGTAGAAAATCTTACTATAAGTTAATATATATCGCAAACAATGCTTGATGGAAAATAACTGAATATTAATCGCTGATGCTTGCCTGATTCTCAATTGCTTATTGAGCGATCTCATTCTTCAAAGTTGCATGTAACTATGTGTATTAGATTTCGATTATAGATTCGATTATCTGTTAATCCAATGATTTATCTTGGGATTAAATAATTCGTGTCATTTACAGATTACGCAGATGCGATCGTATGTTTTTCCATCATCCTAAGATCGACAAAATACGATATGGCGATCTTTGTCATCTTGAAGCAAGAATTTGATGTAAGTTATAATCCTTTTGCATTTATCTGTGTATTATAAATTTAAATTATAGCTGATTGCAACGCAAAAATAATTGAATTTGAGGTTCTTGCGTAAAAAACAAATGACTAATCGACCAAAAAACCGCGAAAAAAGAAACGAAGATTAAACAACCAAAGTTTATTTTATAAAAAACACGGAACATCAAGGTCTTTCGCAGAATTCGTTAAAAATCTCAAATATCTTGCTGCTCTTTGCCCCCCTCCCGCCCTCCTCTCTCTCTCACATACATTCAAGATATTTGTTTTCACGATTGTTTCCAAGAAATAATAGAAATTACATAACAATAAAAAATATAAAATAATTAAACTATTAAAAATAATATAAAAATTTTGAAAAAAAGATTTTGTTCTTCAGATTTTATCTAAAAATAATGCAAGATGCATTTCATCCACAGGCTTTCTCGAAAAAAATTTCCTTTTGTTTTAACTAAACGGGCAGAGCGATGGGATATCATCTGACAGAACGAACATCTATGCCCAAGCCGGCGATCGCAGGTACCACGACGAAGATGAATCCTGAAGATCGAGGGACGCCTAAAGAGCGCAAATGGGAGAGGTGACGTATCACCCAGTGATGCGTAAACGGCGTGGATTGGGCAGCGCCTTCTTGGGCCTCTTCGTGGGCCTGATCCTGGGTTTTCTGATCCTCAGCTACCGCCTGATCATCTCCAATCAGCAGCAACAGATCGCCGTCTGGACGTCAATGCCCGGTTTACGATCGCCGTCGAAAATATCGGCCCAGAACATGCCGAAGCTGAAGGACAACGAGCATATCAACAGCTCCACCTCGAGCCTGGTGTTCGTGGGCGTAATGACGGCGCAGAAGTATCTGGACACGCGTGCCAAAGCCGTCTACGAGACGTGGGGCAGAGAGCTGCCCGGCAAGATAGCCTTCTTCTCGTCGGAGTCCTCGACGGTTCCCGAAAATTGTCCGGATTTGCCGCTGGTGCCGCTCCCACGAGTGGACGACACTTATCCGCCACAAAAGAAGTCCTTCATGATGCTGCAGTACATGTGGAGCAATTTTGGCGATCGTTTCGAGTGGTTCCTGAGGGCGGACGACGATGTGTATGTGAGAACGGATCGGCTGGAGACGCTATTGAGGTCCGTCGATTCCAGAAGGGCAATGTATATCGGACAGGCCGGCAGAGGGAATTCAGAAGAGTTCGGATTGCTGTCGCTCGAGTACGATGAGAACTTCTGCATGGGTGGTCCGGGAGTGGTATTGTCCAGAGAGACGCTGAGAAGAATCGTGCCGCACATCAAGTACTGCCTGCGTCATTTGTACACTACGCACGAGGACGTCGAGCTAGGCAGATGCGTGAAAAAATATGCGGGGATCCCTTGTACTTGGAGCTATGAGGTAATTTTTTTCTTAATTATTAAACGACGCGTGTGACGCTAATTTTATTATATCTAACGTATTACAAAAACATTTTTATTTAAACAAATAAAATGTAGAAGAGAGTACGTTAAAAAAAAATTCGTCGAAAGTGGAGTAGAAAAATAATTCTTTAAGTTGGAAAGTTCACTTTTTTGAAAGTTTGTCTTGAAAGAATTTGAAATGCGGTTTAAAAATAAATTTGTTAAATTAGAAACAAATGATTTTAATTCATAAATATAACTAAGCGCACACATGATCTATTCTTGCAAATCTATTTGGAAAATCTTGGAATTTGCAAAGTTTACTCGTTCTTCTCTTCTTTGTACACAAAAAGCGATTATCGCTTCGCGATTTATCGATTCATTAGTTTTATACTCAAGAACGCGGTGCGTCATGTTGTACGCAGATAGGTGACTCGAACGTTTTATCTTATCGTAAGCCAACGAAAATACATGCTAAATGCTATCGTGCGGATTTGTCAAAACGTTGTTGCACCTTGATCTCATTCATACCTGTTATCGCTATTTTTATTTGGCGATTAAAGCAATAACATGAATTTAGTGAAGTCTTAATAAATAATTTTCGACGCGTAAAAAATATTCAGATCAACGTAGCTATTTATAATTTAGAAAATTAATTTTATTTATTATTTAAAATTCTTTCACGATATATTGTAAAATATATAATTCTGCTATCATACTAATATCTCACTAAGCTGCGAGAGCATTTCTTATTTTTGAACTTCTATGAAATGTATGATTATTTTGTTCATTTTATTCTCATTCGCTTCATGCGAAAGCTATTTTAGTCGTCCTTTTTCTTTTTCGCTTCTGAGAGTCGGCGGTGTACGGTCATACATACTCGCGAGGACGCGTCGCGTGACATGACGATTTGTTGATTAACACACATGTACAGCAGATTAGATGCTGGTTTATTCAACGTTACATATTATATATATATATATATGCATTCTCTACGCATACAGCGTATCCCAATTTTGCTTAGTTATTATCTTCACATCTTATAATGACAAGTTTACATCAGGCTGCAAGTCGCTATACAAATTCTTGACTTTTTCACTATTTGAAATTTGTAATTTTTTGAAGAGAGGATACTAAATAAATTTTTGCACAAAAAGGCCTTATTACTCACTTTTTTAAATTCTAAATGCTTTAGTTTTTAATATTAATACATAGCAATTAATACTTACTCGAAAATATATTATTTAAATCAATCATTTATTTTGCTATCACTAATTGATAATGCGTTTATTTGCTCATGTATTTATTTAAACTACATCTATAATTTGCATCCAAAATTCGCACTAAAGGGTTAACTTTTTTTACTATTTAAATCGCAGATTACGTGATCCTGCATAACTTAATCGAGTATCACGACGTAATACTCACATAATACGCCCGGCGCGATAGTATTACCGATTTCAATACACGAGATACGCATCTATATCATGTACCGGGTACGTCATTGACGGATCAGGTCGGAAGGTACAATGCATAGATGAGGATGTTAGTCGTTAAGTAAAAGTGAATCGTACCCTGCTAACCTAGTGGCCAGATCAAGCCATTCTTCTCCATCTTGACACTCGGTCGCATTAGGTCGCACCGTTTAAGTAATTTGTGCCACGAAGTGCTTAAATCCTCGAAGCTTGTGTTGCGATAATCAAATCGAATTGTCGCACATATTTTAAAACAAAATCTATAGGCAAAGAAATCTAACAGATTCTAAGATAAAACGAAATAAACTATCTATGTAAAAGAATCATGAATTTTGATAAATCAGTAGATGACAGTAGAAAAATCGTAATAAACATTGAAAACAGCAGAGAGATTTAGAAAAGCTCGTGTAAATATAAAATACACAATAATAGAGCACAATTTTACTCTGCTTGATAAAGAGTTTTGTCAGAAATTAACCAGGTGCATCTAATAATTCCTTCATTAACAATTCATTATTATCTGTCATTCATTATTCATGTGGAATTACATACGAGAAGAAACACGGCGATATTGTTCTGCTCCAACTGCAATATGGATGAGATTGCTAATGCACTTGCGTGGGTGCGTAAGGCACTCCTGATGGCGTACGTTGATATTACTGTCGCAATAGGAACGAAAGGTAAAGTGCACGCGGATGAGGATGTTACTTGTTAGGTCCGAACAAATCGTACCCTGCTAACCTACTGGCTTAGACCGTCTTGACATTCGACATAAGGTCGAAACACTTAACAATTGTTCGTACGACGTGCAACGCCTGCACGGTATTTGCGCTAGCCATTTTTGTGCGTTCAATGTGTGCTACGACCGATTGATTGAGACGCGTTCGAGATTCGATAAGGGATTTACGATCTTCGTAATAGGGGTCATCTTTGTTACAGCTCTTGCTGCGTTCTATTACGTCCATCGCAAAACCAATAACGCGCTGTGATAGTACGCGTTAACTCTGCGAAATTAGTGGTCTTTAGTACGATAGCGTAATCGTAAATTATCTAATCTAAGCGGAAGATTAAATCATTTTGACATTCTAAATAAGATTATTCTATTTTGCAAAATTACAATTTAAAGAAACTAGATATATGTGCAAAATTTATATTTATCCTACTTAAATTTCTTGTCTAAAAAAAATATTATTCACAAAATTAAAAAAATAGAAAGGTGTACACAACAAGAAAATATGTATTTATCATCATTAAATTAAATTATAATATGTAAATTTAAATGTATAAAAAATAATTAAAAAAGTAAGATTAATTCGTAAAAAAATACAATGTTAAAAACCACAGAAATATTTTATAATTATTATTATATGTTCTTTTTTCAAATAATTTTTCACTCTTGTATGCTGAATCTGAAAAGTTTATAAAACTTTAAGCTTTTCTTTAAATTGTAACAACTGCCAGACTACTATGCAGGTGACGTTTTAAAATATTTGTTATTTACAAAGAAATCCCGATGCTGTAATTCTATGAAACAAGAAACCACCACACCCAGTTCTCTGCAGACTGATTAACACTTGCACCGCGGGTTTAGCACGTTTCGGTTCAGACACAGTGATACGACGTTCTTAATAGTAATTATTACAGGTTGTAGTTCGCAGGCAGGAAGTTCGTACTTTAACTTCGCTTCTGCTCATGCTAATTGCCATTTGTCGACGCTCGCTTGTGCATGCATTCAGACATTCGGGGCGGCCTGTACGCGACTCACACAGAATCGACAGACGCGATACCATTGTCGCAATGATTAAGCGAGTGCGCGATTCTCAGTCGCGTAATTCTTCTTAAACTAATTTCGGCCGCGCAAGCAAAATGTGCCGATCGAAAACTGTCGAGCAAGAGAGACGCACAAATACTAATATGTTAAATTTTGATACAAAGAGTTTTGTCTGCTGTTTATTAAGACTTTTTTTTATTGATGATCGCAGATTAATTTATTTTAAAAATACTATCGACGCTTATATCTCAACGACACTCACGATATACTCATCATGATGCCGCAGATGCAGTCCATTCTTTATCACAACAGTAGCGGGGCGCTGGCATTTACCGGAAATCTCAAGAAGAAAGAAGTTCATCGTGCCATTACTTTGCATCCTGTGAAAAGTCCACCTCACATGTACAGGCTGCACAATTACATGAGGGTTGGTATCATCAAGTATGATAATTACGGTAATCTCTATAATCATATGAAAAACTGGTCGCTACGTTACTTAGCGGTAACTGTGAAATAGCTTTACAGCCGTTACATTAGTGAGAGCAAACTAACGTGTACGATATGGGAAGAAAACGCTTCGTAATTTTTGATTAGTACTTTGAATGCCACATTGTCGCTGTTAATAGTGTTATCGTTAATATTGGAATTATATATATGTTCTTTAATGTATAATACGTTCTGTTATAATCAGTTTAGAATGTAATTATGCATCTGTTTCATTAACAGGGACTGCGAATACAAGATCTGCAGCAAGAGAGGATTCATTTGCACAGAGATATTTATACGATGGCCCAGCAATTGGGAGTGAACCTTGAAATCTTAAAGAATTACGAAATAGCGGAAGGTGTACGTCTTTTTCCGGTCGATCCTAATTCCGAAGATTATCCCGGCGACACAGATATACTAGGTGATTTCCCACTTCCGCTACCGCAAACCGGCTGTAGAAGCCGAACCGTACGTCGCGTCTGTGTTACTATAATATATACATCTAAAATAACTCTGCTTTTGCTATTTCATTTTCTTTCATCAAGATTTAAAAAAAAAAATATTAAAGTTGCTTTTTACATTACGAAATTTGTGGACTATAAAATTAATTTTTTATAATAATTTTCGCGTATATTTTTTAGAAATTCTTCTCTTGAAAATAACAATCGTTTATCTTATAAATGTTTACACAGGTAGAACTTCTTTGTTATATTCATAAATCACACATCATCATTTCTCTTCTATTTAAAAATTCCGACAACCTTTTAAAGCACGAAATATCTTTAGAACGATAGTGACTCACAATTTCTCATTGTAAACCTTTTACTGCACATCGCATTAAATTAAATAAACGTTTGAGCACTTACTACGTCCATAAACAACTACAGTTATCTGTCTTAACACGAGTGTTGCACCACACGCACAAGATATCAGGATATCACATCAAATCATATTTCAAAGGAATTATAAATCCATTTGAAACCGGATACGCAATCTGGCAGAGAGGCGAGAATCGCGATGTATGACTTTGTATTTATCATCATGTTGCATCTACTCGTGTTACATTTTACCGTGAGTATTTTATTTTTGCCTCGTCACAGACGACTGCACAAGAAAAATAGAAAAATTAAAAGTCTCAGGTGGAATTAATAGTAAATTAATAGTAATTTTTTTATTCTATACTTGATATACTTAAATATATTATTAAATAATCGGGAATAAAAAATCAAATGTCCGAAGAGTTAAAAATTATTCCTTAATTTACTTAAAGTTTGCAGAAATAAATCCGCTCCACTTTAATTCAAATATCATAATTTTTGTAACGATATTTCAATCGTCGGAATATCTGTAACTCGATCAGATCAACGACTTCAAAAATACTTGTGCCACTCTATTTTATTGATAAATCTATTCAATTTTATGATTAACCAAATTGAAAATTGATAGCACGGGAGTATGTATTGGCTATGCAAAACGTTTTGTAAATTAATTAAACTCATGATATGACGATTAGAAGAATCTTTATCTTCTATATCTTTCGCAGATTTTGCGATCGTCATATTAGCTCTTTAACCCACATAGCTCGTATACATGAGTCTGCCGCAATAAATCTAAATTAACTGACTGAAAAAGCAAGCATAGTGTGCCAAGTTGTAGTTCAGGTCGCGGTTCAGAGAACATCGAGATCGCGAAGGAAATTGCCACATTTACTCGCTTTTCCTAATGAATTTTCTGTCATTTTCATGTTTTCAAAGAACCTGAATACAAAGAAACATTTAATTAATTTTTGAAATACTAGAATAGTATAAGTGTCCACGACTTAATATCAGAACGACTAACTGAAAATGTCGGATGTATAAAGCACGACCTTTATATCCCATTTCCTGTCTTCAAGCTAAATTGAAATTGCTATGTTTTTAGTTTCAAGTCACAAATATAGCTTGCAATGTTCTTACAAAGAATGTGTTAAAAAGAGTCCACAAAAATGTATACATATTCAAAAATTAACATAAAAATAAGGAATAATTTTTGTATTAAAATATTACATTCTATTTTTTACCTTTAATAAGTAAAGAAAAAAATTTTTATTTATTTATATTATGCAACAAAATGTAGCAATAATTAAGTAATAATTAGTAATAATAAAATATGAAATGATATAAATTTCATATATTTTAATTTCCACTCAAACATTTTCATGAAAAATTTTTAACTATTCCCTGACTTAGAGCTTGAATTTGCGATGTATTTTTAAGACATATTATTCCGATAAAGAGAATGCTAATTACGGAAACCAGTCGGATTCATTGATTCATCAAACATAACTTTTGTTTGTGCAGGTGTGCCGGCGAGCCTCCGTTCGTTCAAGCCGGCGACGAGCGACGAGGTGATCCCTTGGGACTTCCTTTCGCGACTAGAATATAGTTTGACCGATTCAAATCCAAGGCGACGTATTCATAGCGACATCAAAGAAGGCTTAGAGGATATCACCAGGGATGTTATGGCCTCCATCAATTCCTATTCGAGGCAGCGCGGTCGCGTCGTCGAAGAACGAACGGCTCTTTACGGATACAGAAGAGTGAATTCTTACGGAGCTGACACAATACTAGATCTTCTACTGGTCTACCGGAAATACCGTGGCAGGAAGGTCACTCTTCCTGTCAGACGACATCTTTATCTCCATCAACATTTTACCGGTATGTTTTTTATATTTGTATGATCTTTCGTGTCTTGTATTGCAATTATAATTGTATAAACTGTTAATGAATAAAATTATCATTCTTACAATATTTTATAATATATGTTATTAATTTAAAAAAAAAATTAATTTTTTTATACTTTTAAGATATCTTTTTATATTCGATAAATTATTTAAAATTTAAAAAGCGAAATTAATGAATTATTGAAGTAAGATCTTCGCGATTAAGAATTAAAATTTCACTGTATTACTAAAAAAACAGTGTAAACTATAATTTAACAAGGGTCCTATTTAAAGACTTAAGTTTTATTAAATTCTAATGTTTTCATTGATAATAGAAATATAACAAAATAGCTATTATAAAAATAGACATTTTAAATATTTATTTAAATCTTGACTTGTAATAAAATAGCTATTTCAGTTACTTGAATTAACAATTGGATATTTTTGCAGGTTTAGAAATACGCGAGACGGTCAATGGTGTCGAAGTCCAGTCTTGTCAAGAATCGAACGACAAGTCCATTCAGAATTTATTTCGCGGCGGTTTCCTGAATCTCAACTTCAACTCTCAAGAGGAAGATCCGGTGCGAAGCAAGATCATCAATTTTATCTTACCTCTCTCGGGTCGCTACAAAATCTTTCAAAGGTTTCTCCAAAACTACGAGGATATCTGTTTGAGCAGCGGCGAGAAGACGTTTCTGCTCATCGTGCTTTATCAACAGAAAAACGAAGATTCTTTCAACAAAACGATAGATCTAGTTGAGAAGTTCAAGTATAAATATCGCAGCGCCAGCATAGAAATACTGCCGGTATCCGGGGACTTTTCCAGAGCCCGGGCTCTGGATTTAGGCGCGTCGAAGTTGCACGCGGACGATCTGATGCTGTTCATCGACGTTGACATTGTATTCACGAGTTCAGCGTTGAACAGGATACGCCTGAACACACTGCCGGGCCGAAGACTGTATTTCCCGATCGTTTTTAGTCAATACGATCCCAAGATTGTCTATGGCGAGGCCGGAAAGCAGGACAAGTTCACCATAAACGAGATTTCCGGACACTGGCGACAGTATGGCTTTGGAATCGTTTCTTTGTACAAGAAGGATTATCGCACCGTAGGCGGTCTCGATCTCTCGATTCAGGGATGGGGCAAAGAGGACGTGGAATTCTTCGAGAAGGCGGTCAAGTCGGGCCTCGACGTTTTCAGGGCCGCGGACCGACATCTGGTCCACGTATATCACGATATTGAGTGTAGCCGAGAGCTCTCTAGTCTTCAGTTTTCCATGTGCATGGGATCCAAGGCCGACACGTATGCCGGCGTCGAGACCCTAGCCGATATGATCTACGGCAACCCGAACATACTACGTTTCGCCAAAGAGAGGAGACAGAAGAAAACCAATCCTGCCGGTTAATGGCATATTTGTGAGATGGGAATCACAGGCTGTTGAAGATCATTGCTAAAGAGACAATATAGTTTAGTATTTTTGTGTAATATTGACAAATGGATTGTTCGAACTCTACACTTCAATGCCAGAATATTTCGTTAGTTACACATTGTAAATACGGAGCATGATTGTGTGAATCGAGCAAAAAAATTGATACAAACTGATATTTTATTGCATGGTAAGATGTATATATGTTTTAACTCGAGAATACAATTTCCAAGGCTTGAATTGCGAAATGTGATTATAAAGGTATTATGTGTAATGAATTTCGAAAGTAAATCTGGAGATCGATGATGATCACCAAAGTCACTGCAAGTATGTTCATATTATATATTATTTATGCTTACGTCAAAGAAATAAGTATTCCATTTTGTTGTTAGTTTATGTGATGATATTGTTCTCCATCACCCAATAATCTTTTCAGTAAAAATAAAAACGGACCAACACTACTGCGTTTACAGTTGAAATTGCCAATATTTCTGTAGGAAAGCATCAAGCCTAATGACGTATATTTTATAAGTTCGTTAGTCTAGAAAATAAGTTTAAACATTCTAAATGTGATATTATCGTGCCTTTTATAAAAATCTTTTTTCGTAATCGTATGTACTGCCAATTGTAACGAATATAAACACTCGTTACGATTGCTCCGATGTAGATGTAGATACCTCCAAATCGTCACTTTTAAGCTTCGCATTTTATCTACACACACGTAAAAGATCTTGTAATAATCGGAGCTCATATTTTACTGAATAAATTTCATACGTTAATTAAAAACATCAGTAATATATTCTCGTTATTCCTCTAAAAATTAAAATATAAATATATAATTGACTTATTCAAAATTGTTTTGTAAAAAAATCAATTTCTATTGTACAAATTATTGTATTTTCTTTGTCGTTCAAAATTCGAGTAAGAAATCAATCATTTATCGATCTCTAGAAAATTCGCTGGAGATTAGAGCTTCCGAGTAGCTTTGAATAATCAAAAGCGCACGACGTCAAACTTTGATAAAAAAAAACTATACTGTAGAAAGCGAAGAGCAAAAAAGAAATTGATTCTGCGTTAGCTCACGCAAATTGTAAGTGATAACTTATCAAGCTTTTAAGCAGCATTTGATGAAACGAAAGAAAAGCGAATAACTAGAAATGTACAATGTATAATTTGCAAGATATGATTTGTTCGATAATAAATAATGAGTTGTTCAAAAAAGGATGCGACTTCTCCTTGCAGCGCATTGTACCGTGAATATTGAGTGCATTGAAATTGGTTTAAAATGTAATTATGAATCATAAATTGTTAGTATCTATGAAGATATTGTTATAAACGTATTATTGCAAATTGTAATCGTTTTTTCACAAGTCATAACTTACGAAGCTTCCAAATGAAGAGTTTAAAAAGCAAAAAAACAATTAGTATCGCAATAAATAATGATAATTAACAAAATATTTGTAAAAAAAAAAAGCTGACATTTTTGTAAAATTCTGGTTAATGATGATATTATAATTTAGAGATATAATTGTAAAAATGCAAATAACAAATATTACATAATAATGCTTATTGCATTTTTATATAATATTATGTTTATTGTATAAATAACGTTTTCCCAAACGTTAATTAAACATTTAAATAATAATGCATCTGATAATAACGTATAGTAATAAAGCTGATAATAATTCTGTACATAAAGAATATATATTTATCAATTGCCGTCACGCAGATTGAAGCCTAAAAACTTACAAAATGATTTAAATAATGTATTATTTAATAATATCTCTAAAATTAGGAGCGCATATATATTTCTTATGAGACATTTAAGTAACATAAATTTATTAGAATGGATAAGATTAAAAATCACATTAATTACCCTCTAATGATTTATCACAACACATATTAAGACGTAAAACCCTTAAAAATAAAACATCTACAACGGCTTAAATTTTTTATCTGTAAAAAAATACAGAATTACAGTGTAAAGTATTTTAAAAAAAGGTAAAAAAAGGCGCCAAGTACACGCTCTTGTCATAACTAAAACAAGTATTGTTTTACTTTTCAAAAAATTGTCGTATATATTAAACCTTCCAAAAAAACCTGTCGTATATAATAAAAATTTCAAAAAAAGCTATTCTATATATTTCTTACAAAAAAATATAATATCAGGAAATGGCACCC